TGTGTGTGTGTGTGTGTGTGTTTGTGTGTGTGTGAGTGCATGTGTGTGTGTGAGTGCATGTGTGTGTGTGTGTGTATGCATGTGTATGTCTTGTTAGTGTTTTTTTCTCATTTTTTTCCAAAGGCTGGTTTCAGTAGTTGTAGGATGTCGTTTTGTTTACCTTGCAAAACACAACTTTTGTTTGTTATACTCTCATAGTAGTAGTGACTAACATGATAAAATTTCACTTTGAATGGGAAGAACCCTTTGCATAATTTTTATGGGTGTGCGCACTGTAACAACAACCAACAGGCAATAAAACATGTTACTGCAGTTACTCGCTTGCACAAGAAAAGAAAAAACTATTTCTTTTTACCAGGATAATAATCTTCATAAGTTCATAATTTATTTCATAAGGGGCGAGGGGAGAACATCAAGGGAGGATTTATAGTCGTATCATCCAAATTGTTTAATTGTACAAGGGTTGGACCAAGTCACTTAGATTGTCTGAAGGTTGGGGTTGGACAACTTTAGGGGTTGTTTTGTGGCATATGTTACTCACAAGAGCCTGGTTTTAAACGACTTTTGAGTACATAGGGTCTATGGGTACAATTAAACAACCTCACACCTAAAAAAAAAGAAAAAAAGAAAAAAACATACGACATCCTTAGTGTACAATTGTCGTACGAGTAGCTGTATGAGTATGCGTCTATGCATAGGGGGGCATTCCAATCCCTGCAGTCCTGCACAGGTTCAGAGAGGGTACACGACCACAAAATATGACATATCAAATAATATCTTATAATCGAATTAATTGCTCCTATGAGTCCTATCTATTAAAAGTTTTTGTTTATCTTGATAAGACTGTGAAAAGGACAACAAATTTTGCTTCGACAACTCTATGGTATAAAAGTCTTTATTAGAAGATGTTCTAAATTCCCAATAAGAAACATAATTGAGACCTTAACTTATGACACACAAACGTAGGCTTACACCACTGATAACTTGCTAAGACTGAGAGTGAGGCAAATTAAAGAGATAAATGAGACCACATGAAAAAAGTTGATCAATCACGACAGACTATCAAGCTAGAGACATTGTACTTCTACATGATACTTCTCTTGAGACTCAATAAACAAATAAGTTGGAAACTAGATTGATGAGACAATTCAAAGTTATCACAAAGTGAAAGAAAAAGTCAATGAGTTGACTAAGATGGATGAAACAAGATCTTTTGGTATCGTATTAGGATCCTGATTTCAAAAATTCATTCTTAGAGATGCAAATTTGATCCCCAGTTCGAGCAACATGCTGGGACGTGGCCCGTGTGTCACCGGGTTCCTTGTCCTCGATGATAGCTGGCGGTCAACTCAATCAGAAGAAGAGGCGTAGTCCATGACTCCATGGACCATATGAATTTTTGTTTTGTTGGGAGGATGGCAGCAGGTCTTTGCAAAAATCCAGGGCAGTCCTTACATTTTTCGTGCCACATGCAGTTTCATGCCATAGCTTGTGTAAACCAATGAACTTCTGTTTTTGTTTAATTGCAATTTTTTTTCTGCATTATTGTTGTGTTATCCTGGACCTCGCCTGGCGATTGGGAGCGCATGTGAACATGCTTTATTCGTTTTCTTTTGTTGGTATTTTGTTTATGCTCACAGTGGATATGAATTGACTTGACTCGTTGGACAACAAATTGTGAAACGTTGTTATTTCATTGCACGAGTCTCGATGGGGTTATTTGCCTCACACAGTCTGGTAAGGCAAATCATCTAGCATCTTCAAATTGAATGTAGCAGTCTAGCTGCGACTCTAGCATCTTTGTTGTTTTGTAAGTTGAGGGCAGGAATGCCTAACCAAACATCGACTCATGTGGTCAAGGGCTTTGGAATCATTTCGATGAGGCTCTCTGGGGTTCCCCGGGGAGAATTGACGAGAGGAAGGGTGGGAGGGGGTCTCATAAGGGGTAGTCTTGTAGGATACTAAGAAAGAAAAAGAAAAACGGGAAAAGAAAGTATCTCCCTTTTTTTTGGAGGGGGGGGAAGTATCTCCCTTATCTTGCAGCCCACCCTTTTTTCTTTTACTTTTAACCACGGCTTGTGACAACCTCGGTCATCGTCGGCGGCCCACACACAACGCCGGCGTAACCGAGATCGTTAGGGTGCACTGAACTCCAACGACCGACCGATGTCATCTTCGTCCACCGTGGCTTAGCCCTATAGGGCATCCGCCGAGCTGTGCCACGCTTACGCGGGCTATTTCGACTGTGTGAATTTGGCGCTTATTCTGCTCAGACAGGAAACTCCTACCGGTAGTATTGAGGGAATTTGAGGTGCGTCCTGAAAAGTCGTACTCTGTATGAGGATTCGCGGAAGTGTGGGCAAGCTCTACTGACGCAGCTGCAGTATCGGTGTTGATGATTGCAGGTAGCGGAATAAACTTGACCGTCACGGTGATAGATAGCAAAGCAAGCATGACAGCTGCATGTCATATCATCTAGATCGAGCTATGGTAGTCCGAATCAGGTAAATAGTCCGACTGTTTTCTGTGGAGTGTGAGTTCGGAAACGATGTGGATGTGTTGGGACAGACAAAGATGGCGACGGGATCGTTTGGCCCGGCGTGATGGCTCTGGCACGCCACCTCAGTGATTGTGACACAGTCGGATTTGTCTTGTTGAGTCCGTGGCTTCAACCTGTCAAAGACATCCCTTCCCCTCAAACAGAGTAGGGGTGGACCTCCTCAGCTCAAATATCACTACTGTTCTTCGACCGCCTTACACCCTCGTCGGTAGCGTTCGAGATATTCGAGGCAGCGTACGTACGGGCAGGTATCGCTCACTCCGAGTCGATCGAGGTATATACTCGTTGTACGAACCGCTCGTCAGAGCGGTGCGGAGGCGTTCCTGCTCCCTCTCGGATGCCCATAACCACTCGAAGAAGTCGAGACAGCATTGAATGTCTCTTTGTTTCTCAGCCGCCGTAGGTTGTCCTTCGTCTCATGCTCCCCAGTTGTGTAATCTGTCTAGCTTCGCGCCGTGCCTACCGGGGGTGGGTGGATGAATCGCACTTCAGAGTCAGAGGTTGAGAGTTCGAGCCCTGCAGCAGATGCTTTCTGTGCTCCATCGTCTTTTGTACTTCTTCTTCGTCGCCCTGGCGCCGCTGGCAAGTAGTTCTTGGTCTTTTTCTGCTCCAGCTGTGCAACCTGTGTAGCTTCGCACGGTGCCTGCCTACAGTCTTCCCCGGAATACAACGTACGGTCATTATAGCTGAATTTAGACTGAAACATACACCAAATTCAGCTATAATGACCGTACGTTGTATTCGGGGGAAGACTGTAGTGGCTGAATGCCAGTCTTGGGGGAAGTTGAGAGTCCGAGCCCTGCAGATACTTTCTGCGCTCCGACGTCTTTTTTTTCTGGTTCGTCTTCTTCACCATATCGCTGTCTAGTTCTGCCGCTGCCTGGTCGTGCTCGCCGACTTCTTACGAAAGGCATGCTGCTTCGTCTCACCGGATCCTCCACGTGGCCAGTATCAGGGGTTTCTCCGTACGTTGTCTTCGCATTTGGCATGGCTGTGCGCGAGCTAGGACCCTACCTTCAGTTTGTTCCAGCGTCATGCCGCCCGCTGACGGGCCGAAGATCTCCCGTTGACCGGTTGATGTGCCGTCGAGCAGATCGGTAATGAGAGACTTGAGGAGTACCTCCTGCTGCAGCAGGAATGCGGTTGGACCAACCTCGTATTCAATTTGGTCGATTCATTGAAGAAACACAAACTTTAAGACGGCCGTGATCGTATTGCAGTGCTTGTCCTATGTGCTGCACGACACGTTGACTGTTACTTTTTACCTGTTGTTTTCTTTTTTACCACTGATTATTCCGTACTACCGTTGCGCGGCAGAATCTATGCACTTCCGATCACCCTCGGCGTACCATCAGCACGTGTTCTTATCATTTGTTTGCCAGCATGGAGGCTCAAGTACTTGCTTGCCTGCTTCTCCTACTGACGCTCATCGGAGTGCGTATGCCACGACATGTGTACGGAGAGGACAATCTGAGCAACAGGGGTGTTGCCGAGGCAGCTCGGCCTTCGGCACGGCCCGACGTCCGCTCGCCATCCTCCTCTCCTGTGTCGGCGACGAACCAGGTGTCTGGAACTGGCATGTCTCACCCTTACGTTGAGAAGGACTTTTTGGTCTTCGGGGCAGTCGTCTTTGACCATGCGCGAGGGGTAGAAGGCAGACGACAGCTTGGGCGATGGTGGCGCGACCATGCACAACGCTGTGAGTTTGATGTCGTTGTGGAAATCGACGGCAAGGCGTCAACCTTATCTTGTCTAGTTCCAGGTTACACATTGCGGATCCGCGAAAGAATGCTCGCCGACAAGTTCAACAGCCGCGACGGTGCGGTGGTTGGCTCCGTAAGCGTCCATACGAACGATCGTCGTCGTCGTGTTCTTGGTAAGAGGAACGACCAGGAGGGTGAACGTGAGGAGGACGATGCGGATGGGCACGCGGATGCTAAACATCGGAATCATGGCGGTCCAATTGGCGCAAGAAAGGAGATTTTGGAAGTGCGTGTCCAGCACGGGTTGGAACACGAAGAAACGCAGTCGTCGGTTCTGTGGAAGCGGTCCTTTTGGATTGACCGACACATGCGCACTCTGTGTGTCAACGTCGATGCGTATGCTATCTGGCGGAACTATGAGCTTTTCTCCGAGGAAAAGCAGGAGGAGGAGGAGGAGGAGGAGGAGGACGGAGTCGTAGCTTCGGGAAGTCACAGACAACTCGAGAGGCACAAGGGAGGAATGACAGTGAGACGGCGTCGGACAGCTGCGGGTTTGGCTGGTAGCCGCCGCAGCAGCAGCAGCGAGATGAGGGCGGAAACATCCACGGTCCTGGTTCCATCAGCATACCTAATTAGAGCAGAGAGGAGTTCGTTGGAACTTGGACACCTCATAATGTCCGCAAGAACGCGAGAAGCTGTCATGGCGGCGGCAGCGGCTCTGAAAGACACGTGCCCGTGGTTGGAAACGTGGGATCGAATGGGCCAGCGGCAGCCGTCTACAGAGTCCGATTATTTCGAAGCGGCTCATCCCACGGCGTCTTGTGGGCGGGATGAGGGGTGGGAAAGTCATCATGACTTTGACCACAACGGGCACCCTTTGACAGCAGCAGAGGGGCAGCGAAGTTTTTCATCCTGCGTGTTTCGTTTTGACCGTAGGGCCCCTTATTGCCAGCACCACTCAGGAGCAGCAGCAACCTCTCCGGCAATCTCAAGGGCGACAACACAAGAACAAGGAGCGCGAAACGGAACGGTCGTTTCTTTCTGTCCGCAGCAGAGATGGCGTTACAGCGAGAAGTGGAGCGAGCATGATGGAGGAGGAGGAGGAGGTGTTGAGTCACAAGACAAGTATCTGATCTCGCAATTCGCCGGTCGACGTTGCACATATTACTCATCAGATTGCCCTTTGCCGACGTCGATGACCGCTTCGCAGTTCCTTGAAAGCGACACCGAGTGCGGGGCAGAGGATAGAAGCGCCCGCCTGAGCGAGTGTGGACAGCATCATCCCAGAATAAACGCAGCAGCTGTTGGGTCTGTCGACGATGATCGAGCTTGTACTGCCAGCGAAGGAAGGAAAGGAAGGGGGCTCTTCATGGCAGAGGAGGGAGAGGACATGCCGTTGACGTCATCGCGCGTGGACGATGACGTCAACGACAGGTCTGGACACGGTGTGATGGCACCCGTGGTAATCGGCGTCGCTTCCGAGCTTGCAGCCATAGCCACCACCATAGCCTGCCTTCTTCTCGCTGTTCGTTTTCGGCGTTGGGTCGTAGTTGCCCTGAAAGCTCTGCTGTCGGAGCTTCTCTTGATGAGATCGGGATCGGGATCGGCACCAGCAAGCAGCTCGCCCACGGCGATTGCCGTGGCTGAGCCCAGTGAGTCAGACGACTGTTGGATGGCGAAACCCCCCCACGCTCTCGATTTCCAATGGACGCTCCATTCATCGTTGAGAACGATGGAGGCGCGCCAATCAAACTCGGCATGGGTGGGGGCTCATCATGAGAGGTCAGGCAAATCGGCGGCGGGAACAGATCTGTCGCCAGCGGATCCAGACAGTCCACACGCGGAGCCTGCGGCAGCAGCAGCAGCAGCAGCGACCGCTCGTCCGTGGACGCTGCGGACCGTAGCGCCATCTCTTGAGGCTGTGGGGACCACTAGTGATTCTTTCGGCTACTTGAAGCACAGGTCTGGCGGAAGCAGCAAGTACCCACGCGGCGGCGCGAACGAGACAGTCCTAGCAAGCGGAGAATCATCGGCGTCGCAGTTTTGGGATCAAGTGGAGCGACTGTGCTTTCGGTCGTCCTCGTTTGACCAGCCGCTGATTGGTAATTACAATTGCGACGCCCTCCGCATCAGTGGCAGCAGCAACGAATCTAGCGATCGCTCACAGCCGCCGACCGCGATGATGTGCCGATGGAACCGGGACAAGGCAGGGAGGTTGCAGAGAGAAGAAATTTTCCGAGTTGATTGAGTAACTGCCAAGTGCCATGCCCAGAAGTAATGTAATAATGGAGCTCTCTTGAAGGAATCCGACTGCATTTCGATTGGGTCAGGAAAAATATCGAGGTGAGTACGCCCTGGGTGTGATCATACTGATCGACACTACCTTCTTCCCCCGAATATAACGCCCGGTCATTATAGCTTTTATTTGATGCAACTTTCAGTCCAGATACGGCCATAATTACGGGGCGTTCTATTCGGGTGAAGACGGTAGATACGTGGACGACCAGTCGCGAAGTAATTACGGGGCGTTGGCTCTTCACTGTCTTCAGGCACACCGTTCATGCTCGAGGCGCCTGCTCCTTGTGGAGGGCTCCCAGAGTCCCAGGTGATGATGATGATGATGATAATGAGCAAGCGGCTTGCCTTGCAACTTTTTTTTTTTTTTTTTTTTTTTTTTTTTTGCCTTGCAACTTGCAAGCTCGACCCAGAGCATTTCGACCTTGGAAGATCCGTGCGGGCAGCAGATTAAGCTTTTGGTTATTAATCGAATAGAATAGTGCGAATCGAACCCTGAACCACTGCTTCGAAAGGAAAAGTTAGGGAGCTGACTCGGACGATGTCGATTACTCAATTATCCTTTACTATTGCCTTGTGAAGTCCCAGATTTTCCTGCTTTGCTGGAGCCAGGTCCCAGATTTTCCTGCTTTGCTGGAGCCAGGTCTCACTTAGCGACGGGCCTTAGTCGTGATAGCGATGAAGGAACGGAGCTGGGGTGAATTTGGAATGATGGATGTTGTTTTGGGACGAAGAGGCGGAGAATCCCCCTGAGGAAGACGGTTTGGCAACCGTCGAAACGCGCCGTCGGGGACTCCCAGCTGCTGTTGCTTTTATTGAGCTATTTGTGTAATCAAGTACATTTGTCACATCTCTGTGTTATCCTCTGCATGTGACGTTTTGTCTTCAACTCTCTTATATGACTCACTTAGCAAAGTTCTTCATTTCTGAGTCTTCTGACCGTCGATCTTCGCAATCTACGGTCAGAAATGGAGGATATGCGTAAGTGGGATCTGGCACCTGGACTTCTTTTCTGTTTTTTTTTTTTACGTCTGGACGTTCCTGTTTACTTCTGTTTTTTTTCTGTGCTAGCGAGTTTTCGTTTGAGATAGCCGAGTCCCACTGACGCTGATTCTTCATTTCTGGCCGTTGATCTTCCGAATCAACGGTCAGATTTTGAGAATTCGGGTAAGTTGGACTTGGCCCCCGCTCAACAGGGGCGATTGCTTCCGACGATTCTGGCCTTGGGCTGTTGCTTACGAAGGCGATAGGAGGCTCTGCCAGCGGCCTCGGATGCTTTCCTTACTCCCGAAACAAACAGGGTACTCTGTGTTTTCTACGGGAACGACAATCGTTTCGTCCGATCACACAGCGAGCCTCCTGTGGGTATGTATTGTTTTCTTTTCTTCTTTTCTTTTTTTTTTTTTCCTTTTTTTTTCCCCTAGAGGGCGGCATCCCTGATTCCATCTGGATTCGAACTCACGTCTGCATTTCAGCAGCTTATGGGTGTACTATTTGAGCTAAGCCCGTTGGTTGGGTATGTTTACTGACTGACAGTGACTGCAGGAGTACGTGCGGCAGTCAGACTGGCTGTCTCCAAGGGGACGAATGAACACACAGCTCGGATGAGATGATGGAGATATGTACCGACTGACCTGAGTGAGAGACAGGAGGACTTCCTTTGCGGTGCTACCGGTAGTAGTTTTCGGTAGGCGGCTCCTCCGCGCTGTTGGGTGTTGTACGTAGAGAGAGCCTCAGGCTTGTTTCCCAGGCATAAGAAGTGACTGCTACTGAGTTCTTACAGGCAAGCCCTCCTGCAGGCCAAGTAGTCGGGGGCGGGTGGGGGTTGGTTGGTGGTTCAGGCAGCGCCTTCAGCCTTATCATGCCCTTATGTGGATGGGTTCGTGAGGGATGGAATTCGCAGCATTTCAGGGTCGGCGCCTTTGACACGAATAAGGGACTAAGTTGTCACCCAGGCTGACCCAGCCCATTTGGCTCAATGGTACAGTCAGATCGCGAGCTTGAATCTCGAGGAACTATCATGAAATCAATAAGATGCAAAAGATAGAAGATTCTGGCAATATAACATGAATATACAGTAAGAGGCAACAAAGGATACCAGCTCGAATCCCGAGGAAGAACTCACACGAGACTCAGTTCGAATCTCCGTTTGTAACGTTGTGGATGTCAATCATGTCATCCGGTCCCAGGACCATGCTAACTAGGTATGACGCGAAGGACGTATTGAAGAGTTAACTGTTATCCGACCAATGGGCCTACTAGCTCAGTTGGTACACCCTTGAACTGCCGAACTGCCAGCCAAGAGGTTGACAAATGATCGAAATTTTTATTTTTTTTATTTTTTTTATTTTTTTAAACCGCTCCATCTATTGGTGGGGAAACCTGACAACTGATCGAAGTTGCTCCTCTTTTCTTGTTCTTCTTTTTTTTTATTTGGACCATTTCCCGATTTATGCGTGCCTTGCGTACCAGGGGCCATGCTAATCTTCTCTGTTATTGTTCCAATCCAATTTGCAACGGATGTCCCGAAGGACAGTCGCGGTTGTTTTGACAGTGATAGAGGTCTTCTTTCCCCCCCCCCCCAAAAAAAAAAAAAAAAAAGAAACGAAAAAAAAAAAAAAGAAAGAAAGAAAAAGAAAAGAAAAAGAAAATGATAGAGGGGAGCATAGTGACGAATAATAATATGGTTTGTCCCCTCTTCCTTCCTGTGTTCTATTGCCCCACTAGCAGACTTTTCGTTAAATTTGAATTTTTTTAATACAAGCCGGGAAACGGGCCCGGCGTCCCTTGACAAAAATTGAGTGCGTCCCGCCCGACCGGGAAGGCATCATCGGCCCAAGCCAGAAGGGGGAGATGGAAAAAAATGAAGCCCCAACACTTCGACACAAACCCAGCTAACAGCCATTACCTCAAAGCCAAAGCATTCCTCGAGTCAGAAGCGAAGAAAACATAACACAAAACTAACAAAGCTATCAGAGGCAATCCAACCAGGGCCAAACGCTTTGACACAATCCAGCCAGAAGCTGAGAAAGCAGAACACTTCATATCCCAACGCAGTAGTCGGAATATACTGTGACGTCATGAAATTCGAACTTGAAGTCGATCTTGTCTAACAGAAGATTCCGAGGATGGGAGGATGGAAAAAAAAAAAAAAAAAAAAAAAAAAAAAAAAAAAAAAAAAACCGGAGGAACTTCGGCACAGTCACGAAAACAGTTTGTAATTGCACTTCAGGCAGTCCCGCGAATACAACGCACCCCCACGCGACCCCACCGGACCCGAAACGTAGGTCATATACATTCAGCATTTAATTTACCGGCCCTTTGCCGCAAGTGCAATTACAAACCCAAACCCTGACTGCGCCGTAGTTTTCTCAAAAAAAGAAGAAGAAGAAGAAGAGGAGGGAAGCATAAGAGAGAGTACAAAAGCCCCTGAGGCACTCGAGAAGGGCACAGATTCTTTGACACTAATCTGGCCAAGAAACTTTGAAGAACAAAACATAGCCCGTGTCCTTCTGTCATACTGTATACAAACAACACCAGCAACAGGGCAAATAGAATGGGCCTCGCTGCACTACTCTCCAAATGTGCAAAACGAGAGTGAGTCTTCCGCCAGAATATGGAAAGATACACGGCCATGGTTTTTGTTTTTTGTGCATGACATTGTCGAGAGTAGTGCAGCGAGGCCCAATGTGGTGGATGCCTCAGATAAAGAACCCAGAGAACACCAGCCGGCCGGGGGTGTTTTGTCATAATCTGCAATGAAATTAAACAAGGATTTTTTGTGGGATTTTTGTGGGTTAATTACAAAAATATTGCTTCCTCTTAAGTTTCACAGCAAAAATAGCGTCTGGTCGAAGTTTCCTTAGCAAAAATATATGTTTCATTGCAGCTATACCGGTATCCCTTAGTTTCCAAGCAAAAATATCGCAGTACGCCTAGTTTGCCAGCATAGGGCTGGTCGGCACCTGCCCCAGGTACTCAGGTACTCAGACCTGACCTGGCATAGGTGTAGATATCTCAGCGTCAATAGCTAGGTCCTACGCGGAATAGTGAAAGCAGTCAAGTCTTCATCCACATCTTTCTTCTCTTCTCTTTCTCTCTCCCTCCCTAAGAATCCTCTCTCCTTTTCACGTCTCTTGAATGTATGATGTGGATGCGGACTCGACTGGTTTCACTATTAGGCGTGGGCCTAGCTATTGACGCTGAGACATCTACACTGACCCGGCATAGGGCAGGTAACGGCACGGGCTCGGAACAGAAAACTTGCCGCTGGCCACACCCGGCATTGTGTGTGTGTGTGTGTGTGTGTGTGTGTGTGTGTGTGTGTGTGTGTGTGTGTGTGTGTGAGAGAGAGAGAGAGAGAGAGAGAAATTCCCGTGAGTACATGTTTTCCCTAGCCTCTCTCTCTCTCTCTCTCTCTCTCTCTCTCTCTCTCTCTCTCTCTCTCTCTCTCTCTCAGAGTGTGTGTTTGTGCGTGCGTGGGCCACAGGCATTTCTGAGCGAATCTGGCCACATGTTTGCGTTCGATTCAGTTTGACTGAATGTAACACCTACATGTGGCCAGATTTGCGTGCAATGAATAGCGGGCATGGCCCCTGAGCTCTCTCTCTCTCTCTCTCTCTCTCTCTCTCTCTCTCCCCCGCTCCCTCCCTCCCTCCCTCCCTACTACGTTCGCTTGCTCCTCGGCCATCGACGCGTTTGAACGCCAACCTGCTGTGCGGGAACGGAAAAAAAAAATAAAAAAAAAATGAAGATATGAATGGCCGGTACCAGTTCCGGCCTGGGACAATTTTTTTGTTCCAGGCCGGTACCTTTAGCGGCCTCATATTGGGTCTCTGGCCTTAGGGCTGAGTCCCCGAGGCCCTGAGGCCATTGCCGACGGGTCCTGTGCTGGCAAAGTCTGCAAAAGTCTAAAGACCACATTTTTGCTGGGAAACTCTGTGGGCCCCATAAAGCTGCTGTGAAACATATATTTTTGCAA